GTTTTGTTTAGTATATAATCTCAAAAAAGGAGTCAGGTGCAGGCGCAGCAGAGGGTAAAGTGTGAAGCTAGAAGACTAACTTTTGGTTCTCGGGTTTGTCGTTGTGAAATTGAAAACGACACTCTTTTCACCTTATTTACCGTTCCCCCACCCAACTTGTACACTATATATAAACGCTAGCTTTATTATTATTATTAATTTTTTTTTAATTCCATCAAATAGATTTGTATTACCAATAAGCTATATGAAAAAGTATATGGTAATTTGTACTGTAAGTGAGCCCTGATGTCAGGGGTTTTTTATATAATAATTTTTTATTTATAATTTAATATAATTTAAATTAGAAAATAAGATTCTTTAAGCTATATCTATAAAAAATAAAATTTAAGTTATAAGTCATACGATTTTAATGATAAAATTATTTATGATATTAGTTACAAAATTAAATTTCAAATCTCTAGGTTTTACAAACTAAAAAACTTTTAGCCATTATTTTAAGTCTCCCAAAGATGTGGCTCTACTAGAGTTTACCTCGAAGTTTAGAGAAGTCAATTCTTATAAGGTTGATCATTCATAGTTCTTGGTGATGGTTTTATCAAATTTCATTTGTCCTTCTGAGCCAAGAATTTATATTAGAAGAAAAAATTTAAAGTCACAAAACATTTGTACCACTAGCAATTTTTAAGGGTTTCAAGTTATCATTATACCCTCTTAATCATTAGCTATTCTTTAATTGTATTTTCCACATGTCAGCTTTGACACTTTCTTTTTTTATTATTTATATGATTGATTTTGTATAAACATGAATTATGTCAATGAATTGAAATAAATGTTAATCAAATCAAAACTAACTATACATTAAATAAGTGTTTTTCTCCCTTTTCAACCACCATAAATTAAATAAGTTAATAAAAATAATTTTCATCTTTAACTCTATATTTGGATTGAAGAGAATTGAGAGGCATTCCCCCTCCCCTATCTTTCCCTCATTTAAATAAATAATTAAATTAAAAGAAAAATAAAATAAAGAAAAATTTTCCCATCTCATCTTCTCTAATTATTTTGATAACCAAATAGGGAAATTTTCTCCTCTCCTACATTCCTCTCTACTCAAACATGCTACAAAAAATTAAGTATATAAATCCAAATTAATAATTCAAAATGCAATCCAAACAACATTTTTTTGAAAAAACAATCATGGTAATAGTTATAAAACCCCAATTGCCTTTCTTTCCCTTATTTCCCTCAACTCTATCTTACTCTTTCTTTGCCTCTAATCGCTATCTCTAGGTAAGAGTTTTTCATTGGTTTTTCTCTTCTTTGTGAGATCTCTCTATTTTAGAAGCCTTTGCCTTGGCTATCTCAATGTATTTTCATCGAATTTCACCTATGGTGAAAGAAAAAGATGATGTGGATATAATGTTGGTGGGGCTTAAATAGGTTGCAAGCGTGTTTTGATCATTGACAATATGACAAGTGTGAGGTCCCTTGCTAATATTTCTACCCTAAAAGCTAGAGTATCATGTAAGGCTTCTAAGATGCTTTAGATGCATAATTGGGCAATTCTCCTTGATCTATTTGCTCACCTATTGCAATTGTTATGTAATCTCTGCTAATTGATGGTTTTATATACTTTATAGTCCATGATGTCATGGAATCATTTGTTACTAGCGCTATAGGTTTAGCTTCATTTTGTTGTGCCTATATGGCTCAATTTATCAAAATTTCTATATAATCTTTTAGATTATTAGTGAATCTCATGAATTTCTAATAAAAAAACACAATCAAGGTTATTAAAGATCATCATTCAATTAATTTTCATTTTTCATCATCTTATATATCATCTTCATTTTCATCTTTCTAATCACTACTTCTAAAAACCTATAATAAATTAAGAAACTAGATAATAACTAAAATGACATGAAAGAAAGAAACAATATAAAGACCATGGCCCTAAAAAGGGGAATTTAAGAGTAAAAAATGATTAAAATATAAGACTAAAATGACATTATTTAAAAAAGAAAAAGTTTATTAAAAATTTTTCAAAGGTTTAGAGGGCATGAAAGCCCCCTTATCTTTGTCTAAAATCCTTAATTTCTTTGGTAAACATTTATCTATGACTTCCTTTGTTGCAAAATAGGGGATTGGTGTAGCAATAGAGCTTGTTTGAGTCTGGTAGGCAGGTTACATGGCAAAAGTAGTGGCTTAGGATAAGGATCAAGTAGTGCTTGATGGTGGTTAGATGAGATTGCAATAGATTGATTAATCTCTAGTGGTTGGGACAAACTTGGGATTGTAGGTTCAAAAATTACTTAGTTGGGTTAAGAGGCTAGAATGTTCTTTTTTGTGGTGGTTCTGTGTAAGATTGCTTATTTGGTTGATATTTAGTTGGCAACTATACAAAGATCATAAAAGAGAACCATGGAAGGGTTTGGATAATTTCTTGTGAGGAAATTAGGAATGATTTTAAGTAATTTTTTTATTGATTTGGTATGTTGTAATTGGAGTGCAAGTGAGGATGGTTAATAGCGAGATAGAGCTTGATATGACCAAGGTTAAAACTTACCACTTGCCTAATAACTCTTCAAACCAAAGTCCACATGCCCTTAAAAGCTTAACATTCAAGATGTTAGTAACAATTGGTCTTCATATTAATATATTAAACAAACTCATACACTCATACTTTTATCTTGATGCAGGATTTAAAACATTACAATATCTTTTACTTAAATACTTGATTTCCTTATAAAACCTAAAACTAGGCCCATTGGGTTGTAAGCAGAAGATCTATCTTAGTAATTTTAGGTCCATACTTCTATTAGTAATTATGCTTATCATAGGCACACATTTGCTAGAGATGACTCTCCAGTACCAAGTGAAATGACCCAGTTTGAAACCTACAACTTACATAATAAGTCTTTGGGGTGAACATTACATGCCTTCACAAACTTAAGCTTAAGTTGTTAATTTTAGTTAGTCTTCACAGTTATGTATCAATCATATTTATACTTCCATCTTCATGTGGGATTCGAGGCATTATAGAGCTAAAGAGTAATATGGTGGTGATAAACTTACCTCAAGTGGCTTGATAATGTGAAGAAGGACTATGAATCAAGTGTGTAATGTGGTGGCTAGTGTGGTGGCTAATTGTTGGTTGGTGCTAGTTTTAGTTTCCTTTATCTTTGATGGAGAATGATTTTAGATCCTTAGCTTAGTTGATTCTATCTTAATACAATTTGAAGCTATCATATTGTTGAATATACTTTAATAATGTAATTAACACTCATAAGGAAGTGGGTTCAAATTTTAACATTAATGTATCGTTAACTTTTTTTTCATAATATTTTCATGCTTTCATATTTTTTTGAAAAGCAAAAGGGTTTTTATTTTTGAGAGAATAAGGGGTACGCATACCTACACATAAGAAATAACTTAAGATATTATAACTTAGAATAATTTTAACATCTTACCTTCAAGCAAGCACTACACTAACCATTTACTTCTTACAACATCTATTGGGATTTAGAAGCTAATTGAAGAAATAAAAATTCTAAGATTCTGCTTTATATCTAAGCCAATGGAAAGCCTTATCTTGAATTTAATCAAACATTCTACCATTATCTACATTTCCATTACTAAATACCCTTTCTCTTGTGAGCCAAACAGTCTGCACCGTTATAAACCAAATTACCTTTCATTATAGCTTGCTAACTCAAGACAATGCAAGCCCTTATTGGTGATGAAAGCATCCCAACAAATATTTATAGTGACCATTTGAATATTCTAACAATTATAACATCCAGACCAAATATTGATCAAAATCTGAGAATGGAAGAATAATGAGCATTGTCTTCAATATGTTCACCACATAAGTAATAAGCAAGCTCACTTGTCATTTTAATAATTGCCCTTTTAAACAAATTTGATTTGATAGGCAATTTATCTATGATTAATTACCAATTAAAACCACAAACTTTAGTGAGGATGCATGAATTCCATAATTTATTGAAAATGTGGCTATTTGACAAGTTTTGTCGGGAAATTATTAAAGTTGCCTTTTGTTAAGTAATCTCCATGCTTGTTTAGCTTCTAGACCCAATTATCTTCTCTCTCTTGATGGATTTGCATTGAACCGATGATGAAGCCCAATTTATTACAAGTCTCAAGTTCCACTTCTCCATTGTATATGCCAACACCAACTTCTATTTTACCAAGATCTCATTTTCACTAATTTTGTGATCTATACTTATTAAAACCATAAAAAGCCCAAAAAATTTATAAGTCAACACTTCTTCACTATTTCATATATCTTTCCAAAAGGCCACCTTCCTTCCATCACCTAATCACACCTCAAACCCACTTGATAACCACCCTTTTTTATTTTCAACCACATTATCAATCATACAAACATCTTTCCACTTATTTGAGCCATGCCATTTGCCCTCTCTAACCCATGAAACCCAATTTTCATTATCATTCCCATACTTCTCCTTGATTAGCTTAAATAATAACCCATCCTTACCTTTGGCTAATTTATCAAACCATTTTTTAATTAAAGCTAAGGCTTCTAATATCTTTCACTCTTAGCCAATTTGACTCTTTGCATCTATAAATCCTGTCTCAACTAACTTAATGAACTTTCCTACTTTCTTCATAGCTACCCAAAGAAAGTTTCTTTTAATTTTCTCAATTGTTGTCATAATAATCTTTGGAGTGAGATACACAGAAAAAATGAACACAAGCAAAGAAGTGAACACAAAGTTCATAAGGGTATATTTCCCACAAATGATAACCATTGAGTTTTCCACCCTAATAATTTCTTTCCAAAAGACTCTACAAAGTACTATCATGAAACCCATCTCCAATGATTTCCTCCCTAATAATTTCACACCTCATGGTACTTCAATGGTAAATATAGAACATTACAATGCAATAGATAAGCCATTTTCAACAACCAATCTTCTTAAACATGTATATCGAATAGTTGGCTTTTAGAGTAATTGATTTTCAAACCGAAGATAAATTCAAAGGTTGTTAGTATGCATTTTGCTACCAAAATATTATATTTTGTTGTCTTTCTAAATAAAGTTGTCATTAGTAAATTGAACATGAAAGAATCCAACACCAAAATTGCCAGCTATCATTCTTTAAAATAATTTCCTTTTAATTACATTAATAGACTTTAAAGAAAACCAAAGTTGTTGGAAGTGCAAGTGGTGAAAATGAAGGCAAAACCACCAAATCTAGAAGGAGAAACTAGAAGAAAGAGCAACAAATTGAGAAAATGGTGGTTAATGGTGGAGAAATCCAAATCAATAGTAAATAAACAACATGAAGATGTCATTGAAGCTTTTAGGTGTCTAAGCCATGAAAGAGAATAAGAAAAAGGTAAAAGTTGTGGTCATGGTGTGTACAAGGAGCATAGTGGATATTAAATGTTAACACTAAAAATGGTAACTAAGATTCCAAATAGAAGGATGAATGGAGATGGTTGGTGAAAGCTTATAAAACAAAAAGGCGTTAGAGCTTAGCTAGAGACTAAAGTTAGTCTTCGGCTTGGCAATTCAACACTTAATGTAAAATATAAATCTATTGTGGAAATCTACTTGTATGGGTAAATAGAAAGAAAAGGCAAGTGTGATATGAATAATTGAGAGAGAATGAGTGTAGGGGCATTTGATAACTACCTTCATGTGGGTTCCCTAAGTCATTTATGGGTTTGTGATCTTCAAATGAGTATGTCACTTGTCTGTTTCCAACATATTTCCTAAGTAAAACAGTTGCTTGAGATATTTGATAAGACTATTAGGTTTAAACCAAGTTTTCATGAACTTTGCCCAATTAGTGACCTAAGTCATATTCCTAATATAACAACCCTGAATTAAGATACTACATTAGAATCATGTATCCATTGTAGGTTCCTAGTTGACATGTCCTAAGAGTTGATCAAATTATATCCCTCTATTTTATTAGTAAAAATTCCTTTTGCATGATCTATAGCTATCCATTTAGATTAATAGTTGTCCTTTTGAATTTTGACACACAAAAAGGGGTATTCTCCAAGCTTTGCTATCACTTCTTAAACGAAAGTTATTATTGAATTCTGACGAATAAGACTTATATATTAATATCCCCTCTTATAATACATTATACAAGATTTACTCCCCCTTAAGGGCAACATGAAGGAATCTAAGATGGAGTTAAACAATGAGGATAGTAAGAAGTCAACTATGACACCAAGTTAGAGATAGATGTAAAGGATGGATGCGTGGAATCTGGAGTGGTGAGCAAGGACAAAAGGTATCACAAAAGCTTGCTTAACATGCATGAAATTGCATTATTCCAAGTTGGAATTATAGAATGAGCTCATTTCCTAGGTCATTATTGGCTTTGTTTGGTTTAAGAAAACCATAACCATTATGAAAAGGTGTCCAAGCAGTTGAAAAGTTGAAACCACCAATTCTAGAAAGGTAATTGCTTTGGGGAGGTGTTACCATGGTTAGGTTTTGGAAGGCAACTAAAGTTGTTAAAATAGTTATAAGCACACATGTAGTGAGAATGAAGAAAAACTACTAGATTTGGAAGAAGAAAAGTAGAAAAAATTAAGAAACAGAAATGCAAAAACTTGGATTTAATCAAGAAGTTCATAAAGTTTGAATTTACAATATGTTTATAGGCAAAATACCCAAATCCACCTCCAAAGTATAGTGGTAGGGACAGATCCATTCCTGAACAAAAAACAGAGACAAATCCACCCACAAAATTTTCGACTTAGATAAATCACTCCAAATTTAACATATGATATCATCTAACATTAGCAATCCGTTAATTCGTTAACGGATTGTTGACGTTAGATGACGTCAAATTAATAGATTGCTAATGTCAGATGACATTACACGTTAAATTTGAGGTGATTTGTCCAAGTCGAAAACTTTGTGTGTGGATTTGTCCCTGTTTTTGTTCGGGGGTGGATTTGTCCTTGCTACTATACTTTGGGGGTGGATTTGGGTATTCTACCCATATTTACATATATTGAAGACAACTAGAATATATGTCAACCATTAAACTACCCAATAAGAGAAAAATATTAATAATATTATTTTATACCTAATGTGAACAACTTAGCATATTTCAAACAAGAAATCATTAATAATATAGCTCATCAAACAAAAGTGGTAATGAACACAAGGTAAAATAAATTTATTACCTTTGTACATCAAATAATTCCTCACAGATACATGAGAACCAAATACAAAACATTTAAAGTTTTAATACTTGAGAACTGATTTTGAAAAGTCAGTAAATCCTAGATGAATGATGTTTGCAAATTGATTGCAAAAAAGAATTAAGCAAATTAGGAAAGGAATTACCAAAACAATTTTGCAAATGATTGAGAATGTGCCTTTGAGAATTGATTGGGTTTATACATATAAAAAGTGAAAAAAGATTTCAATTAATTTTAAAAAATTAAAATGAATTGATTGAAACCAAGTTCCAATTGAAAAATCAAGTTTGCGAACCAATTTGTACAGTTGGAGTAACATAATTAATTGGCAAGGTTGGGATAAGAAAATTGATTAAGATTAAGATGAAGATTGCATTAAGGATAAGAATAAGAAGTTTTACTTATTCATACATCAAAGCCACACGTTTATTTATTTTCTTTTATAGTTTTATCCTAGCGACTGTATAGACCAAATGTTAGGATTTGTATCTAAGTATTAAGGCAACTAATATCCCCAACAATTGTATGAAAACATTAGGAAATTCCTAGAACCTCAACTTTAATTCTTAGTAATTGATGCTATTACTAAGATATAATTGTAGAGAAAAATCAATTTTCTTATAGTGCATACTCTAACACATGTAAGAAATGACTTTAAGAGAAAAAGTCTTATTATCAAGTAAAGTCTTATCATGTGTTAGCCTGTACATCAGTTAACATCTATCTTAATGATGTTTTTAATTAAGGACAATTTAAGAATAATGTTATTGCATCATACAATTTTCACTAATATTGTTGATTGGTACTGCATTTGATATAATAAACTATTCTAAAGATGTTATTGATATTAATGTACAAACAGTGATTGGTATACATTTGGTTCAACATATTACATAACACATTCATTAAAAAATATTATTTTTTAGTCTGAAATTTAAAACAGGCAAGTTTGAAGATATAATGATGAATATAGGATGTATGAATAAATTGAATTGACTATATTTATATTATATTTTTAATGGTTGAACTGGAAGTTTGTCAAAAAATTGTTAAATTGAGTGTGTATCAATTATTTTTCTTAATATACACAAAAAATAATAGTTAATGTTCAAACCAAAAAATAATAGGACTAGGTTTGGTTTGGTTTGGTTTTGGATTGGTTTTGATTAACCAAAATTTTGGTTATTAAATTTTAAAAACCGATAATCAAACCAAAAAATATGAATTTTATTGGTTTTGGTTATTTTTTGAAAATAACCCATTAAGATTCGATTTCGATTTTAACGAAAAAATTATTTGTATATTTTTTAATATTTTTTATAATTTATTAATTTTTACTTTATTAATTTTAATCATTAAAAAACTAAAAATTACCAAGTACATAAATAATTGGCAAAACCTTATGTTAAGCTTTTGAACTTACCCTAGATTCTCAATTAAGCCCTTAGACTTTTATTGAAGCAAATATATGTCTAAACTTGGCAATTTGAGTAGTTTAGCTATTTTCTTTATCACAGACTTAATGTCCATTTGCATCTCGCTTATATAGATAAGGTATTAATATGTAATTACTTATTTGATAAGCATTAACTTTATTCAAGCAAGTAAGCCACAAGTGACCGTTAAGTTCACCATAAGAAAAAAATATTAAATTACCTAAATCATTTAGTTTAGATGGTTTAATTGAGAATTTGATATAAATTTAAAGACTTAATGTAAGGTTTTACCTATAAAAAGTGAAAAGAGAACCTAAAACAAATTTAGATATCATTAAAAAATTTGTATTAAAAGCTTTTGGGTCAAATTTTCTAATTACACTTATATCTTAGTAATTCATTTTTTAATTTTTAAATTTAACAACTAAAATCTAAACCATATCGACTTAGTTTGATTTTGGTAAAAAAAAAAAATTTAAATAAACTTAACCAACCAATTATGACTCTAGTTGATTTCAAAAATTTTTAAGTTAGGAATTTTTACGTCCACACTTAATATATAAAATGTAATCATGAGGACAAGAATAGCTCGCCATGCCAACATGGCGAGCATACTAGAGCATACTGTAACTGGTCTAGAATGGATCTTTTATTTTAGTTACAAAATAATAGCCGAGTAGCCGCTAATTAATCTTGGCTCATGCCATCTCTCATATTCTTTTTTAATTGAGCGAGTTTGAAAGTATTAACTATTGAACATTTTTTCAACAATTAAGTTGGGGTGAGTTTTATTTGTAGTTGAACGCGACCGTTCCATGTGAAATTTTGCTAATTATTTTACAGCAACCTAATAACGAAGGGTGAACAGAAACCAAAACAGATATACCTTTATTTTTGCTTCTCTCCTGCATAATTAGGGTTTGCAATGTGGATGCACAATGTCTCAATCTGAACGAACGTCAGTCTCGCTCACCATTTCCGATGACACGGCACCTCAATCGGAGAGTCAATCTCTCGATCGCGCTCACCTGCCCTCTGATCTCGATCACCCGCCTTCCAACTCCGAGACCGACAGCACTCTACACCAGCAGCTCCAGAACCTGGAACTCAAAGTGGAGGAGCCTGAGAAGAAAGATGACATAGAGGAAGATGGACGGAGCGATGACGACGAGGAGAAAGATGATGAGAACGGTGACGGAGACGAGAACCGGAGTGAACAGCTGGAGGAGAAGAGTGATGGAAGGAGGTATAATTATCCAGTGAGGCCCGAGGCTGAGGATTGCGCATATTATATGAAAACTGGACTGTGCAAATTTGGATCTAATTGCAAGTTTAATCACCCAATCCACCAAAAAAACCAGGTGACTTTTATGTTTCTAGATGTATCTTATATTTATTATTCGCGAAAATTTTATTACTTTACTTTCTTTGAGCTGAAATTTATCGTAAGCTGCTTAATGGTATGGTGAAGATATCAAATTTGCTCTTCAGTTTGCTTCATCTAGAAAAATAGGATTTCCTGGCGCCCGGCAAATGTGTACTGGCTTTAAATGATGGATCGCATATTAATAAACATGGCCCTCTGTTCACTGGGCACATTTGTGATTTGCTGCAGAGTCTAACTTTGAAGCTTATTTTTTCCACCAAAATTTCACCTTTTTAAAGGCTACCTGTGCATAACAGACTGAGAGTAATGCTCCTCTCTGTTTGTTTGGGCACATTTGCTTCACTTTGCAACTTTGGGATCGAAAATTATTTTGACGGACTAATTTGCTTATTTTTCCATTTACTTATTAATTTATTGATTAATTTTTCTATAACTTTAACTGAAATCTATTATAATTTTGTGAAAAAAGGGGTCTTCATTAAGGCAGCATTTTTTACACTGGGTGATTTTTGGTGTTTTCGCATTCTTAATATTAATTTTCATATTGTGTTCCCTTTCTCATGGTGCTTTGGAATATTATTGTCAAGGTTGTTAAGGAAAAGATTAAAGACAAGGATGAATCAATAGACAAATCTTCCCAGACAGAATGCAAGGTGATATTTTTTTGTTTTTTCATCTTGGTATTTCGTCCTGCCAATTCAGTTTGAATTGATACCCTATTTGTGCGTTCTTACTGTCGAATTGATACATAATCTCTAGATTTATTTTTATTCTCTATTGCCTATTTTTCCACTCAGTTTGGCAATTTCAAAGAATCTTTGATTTGTGGATTTTCAAAATCAATTTCCATGTTAGTTTTGACTTTTCTTTTTCTCCTTCTAGAGGGTTGGCAGGTTCATGCTATCAATTCTTAGGATGGCTTTGGTTCATATTATTAACAGTTTTCTCATATAGATTATTTCACTGGATTGGAAACTATATGGTTATGTATTTTAAGTTTGGAATTAAAATTCTGTGTAAGCAATGGCATCAGTACAAACCAATAATTGTTATTTAAATAAAACCTTCCTGATTCTTTCCTTGGACCTCCAATGGTGCCAATATGAACTTCGTGGAGCTGATCTAATTATTGGAAAAATATTTTGTCAATTGAGCTGAGGTTTAATTTTGGAGAATTTTGTGGATTGTCATACATCAGTTGTGTATTTGCTGAGATTTTAACCAAGTTATGGACGTGCAGAATGTATATGATTTGACTGGAATTTATGTAACTAAATGAGTTCTGATAATTACTAAGTCCATGTTTTCTAGATGGTCTTTTCAACAAAGTTGTCCCTTCATTTAATTTCCTATCTTTATTGATAAATTAATAAGTCAAGGATGTTCTATTGCTCAGAAGAGAACCCACACTCTCATCTTACCCTGCATGTTAATTGTGGAATTCTATGTCAGTCATATTATTTTCCTTAAGTCTTTTTTTTCAAGATTGGTTTATCTAGTAAAGAAATGACACTCTAATAGACTTGGAATGGGAAGAGTGTGATAGCTTAAGAATGCCTAGGCTTAGTTCAGTTGCTTCTAGTATGTGGGTCAAAATATGTAATCAGTTTAGAGTCATCTTTGGACAATTAGACACATAATGGAGGTCTCTGTCTGTTTACCTCTTGTACTATTGTTATTGTATTTGTTTGTTTCAAAGAGCTACCTATTTCCTTCAAAATACATTATCCAATTTGTGTATTTCAAGATGATTATGCAACTCTTCTCTGCATATATCATATCAACCAGGGGAAGCATGGAATACTGGTAAAAGTTTTTCCTATGTTTTAACTATTATTTTGAGATTGCTGCAGTATTACATGAGGACAGGAGGATGTAAGTACGGTAAAGCTTGTAGATTCAACCACTCCAGGGCAAAAGCTTCAGCTGTCCCAGTTTTAGAGCTTAACTTTTTGGGCCTGCCTATCCGACTGGTATCACTTCCATTTTGAACTTGTATAACAAATCTAACTTATGCTGCCTGAGTCTTATTTTTGTTCAATTTTCCTGGAGATAAATCTCTATCAGATATATATTTGGTGATTTAGTGTTCAATTGGAGTTTTCATTCTAGAAAATTTAAAGTCTTAATTCACACAGGGAGAGAAAGAGTGCCCATATTACATGCGTAATGGCTCCTGCAAATATGGAGCTAACTGCAAGTTTAATCATCCGGATCCGACAGCTGCCGGAGCTTGTGACTCTCCAGGTTATGGTAATGGTGGATCTGTTACATCACAAGTAGCATCACAAGTGGGTGTGGCATCCTGGTTATCATCAGGGACAATGAATGAGACTGCTACTTATGTGCCAATAATGTTTACACCACCACCACAAGGTGTTCCTTCTCAAAATCCTGGATGGAATGGGTTTCAGGTATTAATATTTCTTTTATGCTGTTTAACTTTCTTTTACTTTTGGCTATTTATGTTGTCTTTATCTTCTTCAAAAGACCATGTGAAACACAATCGTAGAGGCTTGTACAAAGACTTACAAAGAGATCCTGACATGGATATTTATTTGAATTCTTATTCAGCTGGGAGAGTGTTTTGTTTTCTATGATTCAAGCTTCATCTTTCTTGCTTGCCTAATAAAATTTCCATTGGACACTTTATTTTATATTGGGTCAATTACATGCATAATGTGTCCTTTTTTTTCTGCTCTATTGAAAGTTGTTTGTGTCCGAAGAATAAGGATTAATAGTGAACATTTTGTATTGACTCACTTTCTATGGCGAGTTAAAAGAAAATGAAAATATTCATGGTAAGAATACAATGGATATTCTCTTGCTCTTTTTGAAGTCCATGTGATGCATAAGATTTACTTCCCCTAATCATCTGTGTTTCACCATCCAGTTTACTTTGATAGCCTAATGTGAGGGAACAAAACTGGTTTTGCATAATATTCTCCCCAAAACTCACCTTATAATGCTTCTGCTTTCTGGTCTGATGTGTTTGTGGTTCATCAAGGCTCCTGTGGATTCACCAGAAAGGAGTTTGCGTTCATCCTCTGGGTTTGTGATGAACAACCCATCAACTGAAACAAGTGTCTATACACATCATCAGCCACTGATGCTAGTTGATGAATTCCCAGAACGGCCTGGCCAACCCGATTGCAGTTACTTCATGAAAACAGGGGACTGTAAGTTTAAATCTAATTGCAAGTTTCATCATCCAAAAGATCGAATTGCAAAGGCACCTCCCTGTTCTCTCAGTGACAAGGGCCTGCCTCTAAGACCTGTAAGTTTATTTTCCTCTGTAGTCTTGCTTCTTATGGAAAGTATATGATCAAGGTGTGTATTTTACACATCTGTGCATGGAGAGAGAATTGAAAATGAGAGTCTATTCAGCAATTTCTGTTGTTAATGATTAAATATCCTGGTTTGTCAGCAAAGACATAACATTAGTGTCATTTCCAAACGTAAACATCTTATAGTTGTCCTTTTCTGTTTTCATTGTAGTTGGTCTGAGATGTATGCTTAAACAGGGCCTCAATAAAATGGTTTCCACATGCTCTCTATTCTGGTCCTTACTATTATGCATTTCAGCATTTCGTGCCCCTCTTTATGAAATCATGTGTTCAGTTATAGAACTAATCTTCAGACTCGTCACATTTTTGATCTCATGTTTCGCTTTAATAGTAGTTTCCCTGGAGATTGAACTTTGTTTTCCAAATCCAGGATCAGAACACCTGCGCTTACTATAGCCGCTATGGCATTTGCAAATTCGGGCCTGCTTGTAAATTCGATCATCCTTCAGATCTGGTTTCAGCAGTACCTGTTTTAGATCAGTCCCCCTCATTACGGAGTTCAAGTATACAGGAAGCTGGAATGGCAGGAAGCAACGCTATTGATGCTACAGTTCAGCAGCAGTTGTAGAAAGGAAATCAAAAAATGTTATCCTGCTCTTCAGATCACACTTTAGCAAGGATTCCAAATTTTCTTAGGGCATTTAAAAGTTTATGTAACCTTTTTTCTTTTTCACTTTTAGTTGAGCTGCCACGTGCTTTTTAGAGGATGGCACGGGGTATTATCATCTGTTGTGTAACCTATCGCTTGTGCTACAGTGCAAAATTCAAGGATATGTAAGTTACCTCACTTCATGAACAACCTGTGCGATACGTGGGGAGTATTTTGTATATGTGAGGGTAATTGATTTATAATTTATGATTGATAAGGATTGTTACTATATGATCGTGAGGGTGATCGAAGCGTTCAGCTCGGCTTCAGAAACTTTCATCGATGCTACCGATGTTATACTTTTTGAACGTGAGCAAGGGAGGAGGAAGGGGTTAGAATTCCTTATATAGAGAAGAAATCTGTGGCCAAATCCTTAAAGAAGAAGGAATCTTACTCTAATAAGGAGTTGGAAGAAGGAATCCTAATACAATAAGAAGTTAGAAATTTTCTTTGAATTTTATTCGAACAAGGAGATAGTAATTTTGTTTATTCTTTCCTAAGTTAGGAATCTTACTATATTAAGGAATAGTCAAATCAATTTCTATTAGGAAGTGCTTGAACTAATTTGTTCGTTTTAATTCGTTTGGGTTTGGTTCTTTTATTGCTTTATTTGTTCGTTCCTTCATGTCTTTTTGTTTCCTTCAACTATTGTTGTAGATTTGTTAAAGTTAGATTGTTGCAAAATAACTTGAATTGAACTTGTCTAGTTCAATAACGAACTCAAAGAGGAAAGTTGAGTGAGAGAAAAAGGCAAGAGCTGTGAACAACACTTGAGAGAAAAGCCAAGTTTTACAGTGTACAAAACATGAGCGTTGAGTGCCATTCTGTAAGAGAGTGGAGTGAAACACGTAAGGGAGTGTTGTGAAGTCCTTTTATTTTCAATTTCTAACATTCTTTGTAGGATTTAATCATGTCAAGCAGTGATGACAAATCAACCACTAGAAAACACCATGTGGATGAGTCCTTCATGCTCAAAGTAATGCAACAACAAGTTCAGAGGCTGGACATCATGTTTGGTGAGATTAAAGACAAAATGGAGAAGCAAGATGCAGCCATAGCCAAGTTATACTAAATATAGAACGGAAGTCCAAATTTGCATAGCAATGATGTTAATGATGTTAATGATGATCTCAATGACGATTATGAAGATGCATTTAACAATGATGCCCATAACTCAAATTTCAGCATGGACAATTTATGAGAGGTAGAGGGGGTCAAAGAAGTAAGTTTAACCGAGGAGAGCAAAATCTTATGAGGTGGGGAGATCGCCCAGATCGTGACTTAGGTAGCATCAAGATGAAGATTCCTCCGTTTCAAGGCAAAAAAGATCTAGATGTGTATGAGGAATGGGAAAAGAAGGTGAAATTGCTGTTTGATTGCCATAACTATTCTGAGGAGAAAAAGGTGAAACAGGCAGCAGTGGAATTTACTAATTACGCTGTGGTGTGATGGGATCAGCTTGTGCTTAGTCGACGTAGAAATTGAGAGTGTCTTGTTGCCACTTGAGAAGAGATGAAAGCTGTGATGAGAAAATGATTTGTTCCTAGTCACTACTACCGTGATCTTTATCATCGATTGCAGGGCCTTACTCAAGGGTGCAAAAGCGTTGAGGATTATCACAAAGAGATGGAAATCGCAATGGTTAGAACGAATGTGGAAGGGGACAGAAAAGCAACTATGGCACGGGTTCTGCATGGGTTAAATTGTGACACAGCTAATGTGGTGAAGCTACAACATTATGTGGAATTAGAAGATATGGTGCATATGGCGATGAAAGTAGAACGACAACTCAAGCGTAAAGGAGCCACCACCAAAACTAGGCAAAATTCAGGTTCCCCATCTTCTTGGAAATTGAATTGGAGCAAAAAGGAAAAAAAAAATCTGCTTTTAAGCCTAAAACTGTAGCATCTAAGTCAAAAGAAGTTAGCAACAATGAGAAGAGTAAAACTGACAATACGTAAGGTAGAAAATGAGACATCAAGTGTTTTCGATGCTTGGGAAAGGGGCATGTTGCATCGCAATGTCCTAATAAGCACACGATGATCTTGAGAGAAGATGGAACAAATTGAAATCGAGGGTGAATCTGGTGATGAATCTATGCCACCATTAGAAGGTGCTGTTGATGATGTGGAATATGCCGTTGATGGAGAACTGCTTGTCATCAGGTGAGCTTTGAATGTGAAAGCCAAAAAAGATGATGAAGTGCAATGTGACAATCTATTTCACACAAGGTGCCATATCAAAAACAAGGTATGTAATGTGATTGTTGATGGTGGTAGTTATACTAATGTAGCTAGCATTGTTTTAGTTGAAAAGCTTAATTTTGCTATGACAAAGCATCCAAGGCCATATAAGCTGCAATAGTTAAACGATTGTGGAGAAATTAAGGTAAATAAGCAAGTTCTGGTTTCATTCTCTATCGGACGATATAAGGATGAGTTAATTTGCAATGTGATTCCTATGCATACTTGACATTTACTTTTAAGGAAACCATGGCAATATGATGGGAGGGTAACACATGATAGCTTCAAAAATTGCTATTTGTTCGTCATGGAGAGAAAACCAATTACTCTTGCACCATTGAGTCTAAGGCAAGTTTATGAGGATCAACTAAGTAAAAAAAGATAGTGAGTTGAGAAATGAGAGTGAGCTTGAGGGTATGAAAAATAAAGGGAAAATAGCAAAAAAAAGTCCAAAAAGAGAGAAAAGATTGAGAGTGTTGAAAGCAAAGAGAGAAAATCAATTAATGTCTATGCAAAAGAAAGTGATGTCAAGGCAGCGTTCTTTGCAAAGTAGCCTATGTTTGTGCTTCTATATAAAGATGCTCATTTTAACACTAACAAACTTAATGATTCTTTGCCTAGTGTTGTTAAATTTCTTTTGCAAAACTTCAAGGATGTATTTCTCGAGGATATTCATAATGGGTTATCACTAATAAGAGGAATTGAGCATCAAATTAACTTTATTCCAGGTGCAACAATTCCAAACTGACCAACATAGCGAAGCAACCCCAATGAGATGAAAGAACTTCAAAAGCAGGTTGAAGAACTCATGAAGAAGGGGCATGTGAGAGAAAGCATGAGTCCATGTGCAGTTCCAACGCTAGTTGTGCCTAAAAAGGATGGGACTTGGCATATATGCATTGATTGTTGTGTTGTCAACAAAATCACTGTAAAGTATCGTCACCTTATTCCTAGATTAGTTGAGATGTTAGATGAGCTGCATGGTTCTTGCATATTCACTAAAATTGATTTAAAGAGTGGGTATCATTAGATTAGGATGAAGGAAGGTGATGAATGGAAAACAGCCTTTTAAAATGAAATATAGTTTATATGAGTGGTTAGTTATGCCATTTGGATTAACTAATGCATCTAGTACATTCATGCGATTAATGAATCATGTTTTGCGTGCTTTCATTGGCAAATTTGTGGTTGTTGATTTTGATGACATTCTGCTATATGGTAAGAGTTTAACTAATCTTATTGAGCATCTATGAATGGTATTAGAGGTTTTGAGAAAAGAAAAGTTATTTGCTAACTTTAAAAAGTGTTCCTTTTGCATAAATTAGATTGTCCTTTTAGGGTATGTTATTTCAACTGATGGAATTGTAGTAGACGAAGAAAAGATTAAGGCTATTAAAGAATGGCGAACACCTAAGAATATTTCTGAGGTGCGGGTTTTCATGGTTTGGCAAGTTTCTGCGAAAGATTCATCAAGGACTTCAGCACAATTGTAGATCCGTTGACTGAAATCGTGAAAAAAAGTGTCGGATTTAAGTGGGAAAGTGAACAGGAGAATGCTTTCAATTTGATTAAGGAGAATTTAATTTCTGTACCATTACTTGCTTTACCTAATTTTACTAAAACTTTTGAAATTGAATGTGTGCATCAAGTATTGGCATTGGCGCTATTTTGATGCAAGAGTAGCGGCCTATTGTGTTTCTCAGTGAAAAATTAATTGGTGCAATACTTAACTATCCTACATATGACAAAGAGATGTACGCAATGGTAAGAGCCTTAAAAACGTGGCAATATTATCTTTGGCCTAAGGAGTTTGTGATACATACTAATCATGAGTCGTTAAAGCACTTGAAAGGACAAGGTAAGCTGAATAGACGACATGTTAAGTGAGTGGAATTCCTTGTGACATGTCCCTATGTGATCAAGTACAAGCAAGGAAAAAAAAACATTGTGGTTGATGCATTATCTCGTAGGTACACACTTATCTCTACTCTAAGTGCAAAATTAAGTTCTTGAGTTACTTGTGGAAAACCTTGTGGGGAAAGTTGGGAACTAAGCTATTGTTTTCAACTACTGATCATCCATAAATTGATGAACAAACAAAAGTGGTTAATAGGACATTGTCAGCCTTATTGTGTTCTATTATTCAAAAAAACTTGAAGAATTGGGAAGAATGTTTGCCGCATGTTGAATTTGCTTATAATCGGAGCGTCCATTCAGTAATTAACTGTTTGCCATTTGAAGTTGTGTATGATTTTAATCCACTCACTCTTTTGGATTTATTGCCATTACCTATTGATGAATGAGCTAGTTTTGGATGGAAAAAAGAAAGTTGAAGTGGTTAAGCAACTATATGAAAGGGTGTGGCAAAACATAGAGCGACGAACTGAGCAATATGCAAATTAAGCCAACAAAGGGTGCAAGAAAGTTGTGTTTGAACTTGGAGATTGGGTTTGGGTGCATATGCCGAAGGAGCGATTCCCTGCACAAAGGCGTTCTAAGTTGCAACCAAGAGGCGATGGACCATTTCAAGTGATTGCAAGGATTAATGACAACGCAAACAAGTTGGAGCTTCTCGGTGAGTATAATGTTAATGCTAGTTTTAATATTTCTGATCTTTCTTCTTTTGATGAGGTGACGATTTGAGGACAAATCTTTTGAGGAGAAAGGGAATGATGGGAATTAAGATGACCGAACATGTACCACATCAAGAGATCCATTACACATTTCAAGAGGTCAAGTCACGAGAGCTAGAGCTAGGAAGATGCGAAAAGCTTTAAATGGCCTTATCGAGCAAATCTGGGTTGATAACAACATGCAACAAGTAAATCAAAATTTGGATGATTATCAAGGCATGGTAAACATCATTCAGGTTTAACAGGTTCAAGAGAAGTTTAATTGAGGTCATTTATGTTGAATTACACAATTTGCATCCCAATCTCGTAATTCTATTGCAATTTGTAACAAAATGATCTTTCATGTTACTTTAGGTTATTTTTAGTGATGTTCACGTTTTTTGTATTATTTTTGGGCTGAACATTCATTTATTTGAAACCCAATTCGTGGTTATTAGGTTTAGGACTTAGGGTGTTAGTTTCCTATTCTGATTAGAATTACTTTTCCCTATTTAAAGAGCTTGTTACCCTAATTGGAGAGAGCTATTGAATTTGAGTTTTTGAAAGACTTTTCTCTTTGGTTCGTTTCAGAACTTTACAAAATTTATCAAAATTATTCTTGTGGTGTTTTAATCTGACTTATCATTCTCGTTTTTAATCGTTCGAGGGTGTGGCATTAACCAATTATATACCTCTGGTTCTTGTTGTGTCATAAACAACGAGTTAAGGTCTTTACCTTTGGTTCTTGTTGCGATATAAACAATGGGTCAAGGTTCTATCATAAACTTGATTTAGCTTTCCTGAAGTTTCAAAATCTCTTGTCATGCCATGGGTCTCATTGTTCTTTTTGGGGTTTCAATCAGAATTGGATTGTAATTAAATGAAACAACATTATTTAATATTGAGATTTTAATTTTTTTAATCAAAATTGATATATACTATTTTTTAAAATTA